TGCAATGTGCGTATGGTTCTGCCCGAGGGCCCATCCTAAATATGGACTCGTGCCATCCCGGCCCAACCGATATCGCCCCCCCGCCATCCTCTGCAAAGAAATACTATGCGCGCGCACTCCTTTAACAAGAGTCATAAGTGGTCAAGAACCCCTTATGATCCAGGGTCGAGGGCCCACGGCCCCCCCCCCCAGATGGCATGGCCCCAGGATTCCCCGGGCCCCCCCCCCAGATGATATGGTCCCAGAGACGACGACGACGACGACGACGACGACGACGACGACGACGACGACGGCTGCGACGACGGCGGCGACGGCGACGACGGCAACGACGACGACGACGACGACAACGACCACGACGACGACAACGACGGCTGCGGCGGCGACGACGCCGGCGGCCTTGGCGACGACGACGATGACGACGATGGCGACGGCGACGACGACGATGACGACGACGACGATGACGACGACGATGACGACGACGACGACGACGACGACGACGACGACGACGACGATTTCTGAACCACCACAGCACCACACCACATCCACAGGGGGGGGGAGGGGGGCACCGCAGTGCAACACCACGCCACGCCCACCTCTGAACCACCACAGCACCACACCACATCCACAGGGGGAGGGGGGACCGCAGCGCAGCACCGCGCCGCGCCCACAGGGGGGGGCGGGGGGGACCATCGCGCGGGGGGGGGGGGCCAATGGCATCAGCATTGGGGGGGGGCCCAAACCCTGGGCCATATATAGGACGAAGCGCGCGCGTCGTCGCGCGCCTGCCGACATATTTTTTGTTTACATAAGTACACAAATACGACAGAGCGCGTTTCGCGGGCGCTTGCCTTGGGGGCATTCGGCGGCGCGTTTCGAATTGGGGGGCGGGCCCCCCCCCCCCCCGACGCTCGGCGCCGTCGATCGCAACCAGTGGCGCCCCTTCCCCCCCAACCGCTTTTTCCTGAGCACCCCCCCCCTCCGCGCCGGCGCCGGCGCCGTCGCTGGCGGCCGCCAGCAGCGCCGACGGCAGGGCGACGATGGCCAAGAGGCAGCCCAAGGGGGGGGGGCGAGGTTCAAACCCCCCCCCTCCCTGGCGCTGGCGCCGGCGCCGACGGCGGGGGCGCAGCGACGATTACCACCGCTACCACCACCGCCGCCGCTACCGCCACCACCACCGCCGCCCCAACCCACCGCCACCACCACCACCCACCACACAACCACCACCACCACCACAACCACCACCACCACCAAAACTCACCACCACCACAGAAACCCATCACCACCACCACGACCACAACCACCACCGCCACCGCCACAACCACCGCCACTACCAGCAGCACAACCCACCGCCACCACGGCAAACCACCACGCCGCCACCACCACCACCACAACCATTGCCGCCACCACCACCACCACCGCCACCACCTTCACAAACCACCGCCACCGCTACCACCCGCCACCACCACCACCACCACCGCACACCACCACACCATCACCAACACCACCACCACCACCACAACCCACCACCGCCACCACCACCACAAACCACCGCCACACCACCACCACCACCACCACCACCACCACCACCCACCGTCAACACCACCACAACAAACCACCACACCACCACAACCACCGCCACCGCCACCACCACCACCACCACGACCGCCCACCACGACTACCGCCGTCGTCCTCGTCGACGCACCCCCCGCCGCAGGCGCTGGCGCCGGCCCAGAAAAGGAAGGCGCCGCCCCCGCCGCCGCCGCGGGCCGCCGAGTGGAGAAGAGGGGGGGGGGGCGGCTTCGCACCCCCCCCCCCGTCACGGGAGGGGAGGGGTTCGACCCCCCCGTCCTCCATCCAGCCCGTTCCAAGCCCCCCCCTCCATGCGACCGCAGAACGCTGTTTCATAAGTAAAGACAGTCGGTGCCGCAACGATTTCAGGATCGAGCATCCACGAAAAACATATAGAACACAAGGTCTCGCAACGCGCATTTCCAATACAGAAAACAGGCGCGTGCGCTCTTGCGAATTCTTAAGCAGACCATCGGCTTTCAATATTGTTAGAAATGCTACCAAACGGACATCGCGCGAACATGCCGAAATCGCTCGAATGCCCTTGCGCGCCTGTCGCGAAAACCCGTTGCAGAAAATAGACGGAGTGCACGCGCGTTTCGTCGCGCGCGCATGATGGACTCCGTCAAGAACTGCCCGCTTCGCAAGGATGTCAAAACCGAGCGTCCAAACCAAACGCACAATAACATGGTTTCGCGACGTCAGTTTTGAAACAAGGGCGCGCTCGCGCCCCTGCGAATTCTTGAAAAACCGCTTGTGTTTCTCATCATGTTCATGGCATTCTGCCAAGCGGGCCTCTAGCGCCACATGCCGACATCATTCGCGCGCCCTTGCGCGCGTGCTGGGGGGGGGGCGCGATCCCTGTCAAATCGCCAATTCGACTCGCGCCTCGGCTCGGCCGCGCTCGCATGTCGAACTCTTTCCAAAACCTCCATCACCGACGCGAGGGCGCCGTCGTCGTCGTCTGAGCGGTCAGGATCGGCGCCCGCTCTGGCCGCGCCCTCGTCGTCGCCAACGTTGCCGCCAGCGTCGGCGCCATCATCGTCGCGCCCGCCGCTGTCGACGTCGCCATGATGCCGCGCCCGCCCAGGCCGCCGACTCGCAGCGAAGTGCCCGCTGGGATGCGCCCAGCGGTCAGCGCCACTGCGGCAGCGTCGGCGGTGCCAAACTAGCTGGCCGACGCGCGCGCTTGGGTCGGCGCGGCCACGGAGATGCACCAGCCAGCACCAGGCATGCATCGCAATCGCCACCGCGTGGGTTTTGCGAACCGAGTCGCGGGTGGGCGGGTTGGATGTTTGCAAGAGCATGGGATGCGTCAACTCGTTCATTTAATAACATCAGTTCTCTTTTCTCACAAAAAATCGGATCCACCGCCACCCCCCGCCGGGCATATCGCCGCCGCCCCCTTCTCGCATTGCAATTTGCGTGTGATTCCGCCCCATCGCCCACCCTAAATATGAGCTCGCACCACCCCGGCCGAGCCGGCATCGACCCCGCCCGCCATCATTTGCAAGACATATTAAACACGCGCGCTCGCTGATCAAAAATCATCAGTTGCATGGGCTCCACGCAGCGCACTTGACAAAGTGCGCGCGCGTCGTCGCGCGCGCGGCGAAGTCCATCCAAAACCCTCAGATACCTTCGGTGCCGGATGGGCTTAAGAATCGAGCGCCCCAGAAACGCAAGAACAACACATGGTTTCGCAACGCGGATGTTCAAAAGAAGCGCGCGCGCCCGCTCTTGCAAACTCTAAAAAACATCCTCTTTTCAACAGTTTCAGGACGTGCGACCAGACGCGGCTGCGTGCGCATGTCGAAATCGTTCGAACGACTTTGCGCGCGTGCCGTCGCGAGAATATTGCAACATGTGGGGCGACATGCGCGCGCGCGTCGTCGCGCGCGCGTGCCGGAATCCTTCAAAAACCTGTTGGTGCCGTGACGGCTTCAAGACCGAATGTCCAACAAACACTCAACAACATCAGGTTTCGCACCATCAGTTTTCAAAACAAACTTGCGCGCTTTTGCGAATGCCAGAGAAAACCGTATGTTTTCGACATGTTTATGGATGTTTGCCAAAAGGGCCTCTGGAGCCGCATGCCGGCATCATTCGCGCGCCCTTGCGCGCGTGTTGGGGGGGGGCACGATCCGTGTCAAAAAACCATGCGGGCCACTCTCGCGCATCGGCCGCGCGCGCATGTCGAACTTTTTCCGAAACCCCCATCGCCGACGCGAGGACGCCGTCATCGTCGTCGGCGTGATCAGAATCGGCGCCCGCGCTGGCCGCGCTTTCGTCGGCGCCAACATCGCCACCAGCATCGCCACAATCATCATCGCGTCTACCGTAGTCGGCGTTGCCATGATACCGCGGCCGCCCAAACCGTCGACTCGCAGCGAAGTGCCCGCTGGGGTGCGCCCACCGGCCAGCGCCACCGCTGTCGTGTCGGCGGCGACAAACTAGCTGGCCGCTACGCGCGTGCTAGGGTTGGCGCGGCCGCAGGGATACACCAGCGCACCAGCCAGTGTCAAACATGCATCGCAATCGCCACCGCGTGGGTTTTGCAATCCAAGTTGCGGGTGGGTGGGTGGGCTGTTTGCGCGACCAGTGGGAGCGGTCAAGCGCGGTGCAGGGTAGTCATTTGCACCAAATGGGTCGCACCACATATAGCGCGCACCGTCGTTCACATAACAAAGACTGCGCAACGTCAGTTGCACCACCGAGTTACGTCACATATGACATGTATATATAAATAAATAAAAGCACCGCGTCGTTTGCAACATTTGGATTTGATTTCGTAATTTGCATTACATGGATTGCCCCGCGTATAGTGTACCACATAGACTGCACCACGTATATTGCATGGCACACGTTTTTTATTTATGTGTATATACACACATATGTGTGACCGTTGCACAACATATGATGCATATTATAAGCTGCATTCGCATATTTTGGCCCACGTAGATAATGTGCCATGGGTCGTTGGACACACATCGTTGGGGGCGCACGAAAATCATAGACTTTCCCACAAATGTACATATTGTTGTGTATATATAGATATATAGTTATGCATGTATCGATACACGTGGATCCGTGTATGGATGCATGTGGGATGGATGGATGTGTGTATGTATGCTTGAATATGTGTACACTTCTCTGTGTCGGGATATGTTTCCCGTTAGTCGACGTTTTCAATTTTGAACCTTCTCATGATTCCGGAATTGCTTGGATGGTGTGTCATTAGTATATAATATACCCTGCGCGAAACTGAGTAATTCTTGGTCGAATGCTCGGGGTATTTGCGACCCTGCGGGTGGGACATTGTGGAAGGAAACTGGGTTGGACCCCTCGGGTGGGACGTAACTGCTTGGACCCTGCGGGTGGGGACCATTCCGGGCAGAACCATTTGGGTCTGACGTGCGCTTTGGGCAGAACGAAATCTAAATGACCTTCTGGGTGCAACCCTGCGGGTGGGACCCCGTGGAGTGGAACCCTATGGACTGAACCTTGCGGGTGGGGCCCGTGGGGGGGTACCCTGCGGGTGTGACCTTGTCGCTTGTCCGTAGCTTCTGGCCGGAAGCCTCCACCGGCTCAGGGTGCCCACGCTCTGGCGCCCCGAAGTTTCGGGCGCTGGCCAACGATGGCTCCCTCGGCGCAGCCGCCAGCAAACAAGGCCTCGCGGCCAAAGGTTGGCGTGGGCGTCTTTGTCACCTCGGCGGAGCACCCAGGGTGCGTGCTGCTTGGCAGGCGCCGAGGCTCGGCGGGTTCTGGGACCTGGGCGCTGCCGGGCGGGCACCAGGAGGCGCAGGAGACCTGGCAGCAGGCGGCCGAGCGTGAGGTGTGGGAGGAGGCGGCGCTGAGGCTGCGGGACGTTCGCGTGGCCACCGTTATCAACTCGATGGACCCGGCCTCCGGCTACCACTATTGCGTCGTCTTCATGAGCGCTGCCGCGCGGGGCGAGCCGGTGAACGCTGAGCCGGACAAGTGCGATGGGTGGTCGTGGCACCCGTGGGATGACCCCCTCCCTGAGCCCGTCTTCAAGACGCTGTCGGACCTGCGCTCGAGCGGCTTCAACCCGTTCACAGACTGCGGCACGGTGCTGGGCGAGGAACCCTTGCCACCGTACTGCTGCGCCATCCTCGCCACCGAGGCTCCCTCGTGCGGCGCCGGGCCGTCGCTGCTGCTGGAGCACCGGTCGCAGAGCGCCGAGGTGGCGGCCGGCCAGCTCACGTGTTTCGGCGGCAAGCGCGAGCCGGGCGAGGCGCCGCTGGACTGTGTGCGGCGCGAGTGCCGGGAGGAGCTCGGTTGGGAGGCGGGGTCGCTGACGAGAGTCGTCGACCTGTACTCGGAGAAGCAAAGGCGGCACAGACCTCAGCTTCCGGGGGCCCGCGCAGATCTCTCAGGAGGAAAAGAAACACACAGACACGATTAATCCTCGATTCCCTAGAAAATATTGGAAAATCTGGGAAGTGGGGGGGGAAGACAGAAACCCAGAAAATATGGGAAACTATGGGGAATATGTTTATTTGTGTGTATTTATTTGTGTGCCCTGGGGCCCCTTCAATCTCTTGGGTCGGCGCTGGGCCTCCCTCCCGGGCGCGCGGAGCGCGCCAGAGCTGGCGCCGGAGGCGCTGCCAAGGGCGGAGGGCGGCCCAGCGCCGATCCACGAGAGGCGCGCGGGCCTCCGAGAGGTCATGCCTGCGCCGCCTTTTCTTCCTCCCTGCTCGGCGGCGAACCTGGGGGGGGGGGGAGGTGAGCAGACGCAGGCCTTGTCAAAAAGGCTCGGAAGCCCTCTGCCCTTCTTGAGAAGCTGTTTCGAAGCCTTCCCCGAAGGCACAGAGAACGTCTCAGAAGCACAGGCCTTCTGAGAAGCCCCGCCGCCTTCTCCTTCGCCTTCTCCTCCTCCTCGTACTCCTCCTCGTACTCCTCCTCCTCCTCCTCCTCCTCCTCCTCCTCCTCCTCCTCCTCCTCCTCCTCCTCCTCCTCCTCACGCTCTGGTGGCCACGCGGCGGTCTTGTCCGCCGTAGCCGCGCTCTCCTCCGCCTCCTCCTCCTCCTCCTCCTCCTCCTCCTCCTCCTCCTCCGCTCCTCCTCCTCCTCCTCCTCCTCCTCCTCCTCCTGCTCACTGCCCCTCACTTCCCCCCCCCCCCGGCGCTCGCCGCCGACCCCGCGTACGTCGAGGGGGAGCTGGTCGCGTGGTTCTTCCTGGGCGCCGCGCCCCCCGAGGGCGCGCCGCTCACGTTCGAGGAGGGGCGCGGGGGCGCGTGGCGGCCGCTGGGGGCGCTGCTCGACGGTGGTCTCGAGTTCTGTCGGGCCTGTCCCCCTACAGGGGGATACAATACCTCCAAAAAATACCCCCAAAAAATACTCCAAAAATAGTTTGGGGACTAGTTTTGGAATATTGTTTGACCTCTTTGGGGTATTTTGGGTGTATTTGTTATTGTTCGTCGAAAATCCCCCTGTAGGGGGACACGCCCGACAGAAGTCTGGAGGGAAGGGGCCCAAACTGTCTCGGGCAGTGAAGAAATCATGACGGGAGGTTTTGCCATCTTTTCGGCCTCTGGAGGCCCTCCCCGCGCCTTGGGAGCGTCAAACAATGGTTCGGGATGAGAAATTGGTCCCAGGGAAGGGGTCGAGACCTCTCAGGGTCGACGGTGGTCTAGGGGGGACAAATGAAGCAGTGGCGAAGCGTCCTGGCTTGCCTATAGGCCCACCAAAGGAGTGATGTGAACCTTTTGTGGTTTGCGCGAACTGTTCTTGGAACATCTATGAGACCGAAAAACCATGTTTGACGATGTGGGTGCATTTTTGGTTCCACCCGTAGGGGGATATCCCTCGGAAACCAGAACATATACATAACAAGTGGCGGGCTCTGTTCCAATACCAAGACTTTTTGAGGGTGGGTCGGGGACGACGTCGGGGTGGTGTGGTGTATATGGTTTTCCCGTTTCCCCAGGGAAGCAACGGAAAATTTACACACCTGAACCTCATATCTATATCTGTATGTATATGGATAGAACATATACATGTATATACACACATATATATATATGATGTAATTGTATGTATATATATATATACACACCAGGATCCGCTTTCTTGTGAGAGTTTCCGCGCAGGGCCGGAAAAAAGCGTTGGTGTAATGATCGGGACCTAAGAGACGGGGGTCAGTGCAAACGGGGGTCAGCCAGAGCGCCAGATCCTGCAGGATCCTGCGAAGGCCCCCTTTAGCTGACCCGGGTTAGCGAGCCGCTCGGGGCCGCGAGGCGGCCGCTCGTATTGGCTGACCCGGGTTTGCGAAGACCCGCGTTGCAGTTTTTTTTTTGTTTCCTGCATTGCAGTTTTTGGTTTCCTGCTGACCCGGGTCTGCATTGACCCTGGTCAGAAGATCCCCGAAAAGAGTTCGGCTCCCGACTGCCCGGCCGAACCCTCCAGGTGGGGGCGCCGGCGCCCCCGCCGAGCTGTCGCCCTGGCACGCCTGCGCCCTGCACGCCTGGAGGCGCGGCGCGAGGCGGGCGGACTTCGCCGGGCGGCGAGGTCTGCACGTGCCCGCTGGGCCTCCTCCTTCTCCTCCTCCTCGTACTCCTCGTACTCCTCCTCCTCCTCCTCCTCCTCCCCCTCCTCCTCCTCCTCCTCCTCCTCCTCCCCCTCCTCCTCCCCCTCCTCCTTCTCCTCGTCCTCCTCCTCCTCCTCCTCCTCCTCCTCCTCCTCCTCCTCCTCCTCCTCCTCCTCCTCCTCCCCCGCTCCTCCTCTTCCTCCTGCTCCCCCATCCTCCTCCTCCTCCCCTCCCCCTCCTTCTCTTCCTCCTTCTCCTCCTCCTCCTCCCCCTCCCCATCTGGGCTCTGCACGAACGACATGAGTACGGAAAGAATCGGTACAATGCCCAACAGCATTTCCTGCTCATTTTGAACAGGACTCGCTGTCCGCGCCTCCGCGGCCTGTGTCCATTCGAGACAGAAGGCCGCCTGCCCAACAGCGGCCACTGTTGATTTGGGACAGCATTTGTTGTTGGGCATTGTACCCATGTTTTCCGTACCTTTGTCGGGCGTCCAAACCCCCATCCTCCCGGACGGGGCTTTCCCAGACCCTTTCGGGCAAGGAAAAGATAATGGCCTCAGACCCTCTCGGGTAATTAAAAAATCATGTCGGGAGGTTTTTCCGTACTTTCGGCCTCTGGGGGCCTTTATCGGGTTTCGGGATTGTCAAAAAACTATTCAGGATGAAAAATTGTTCCAGGGGAATGGGTCGAGACCCTTGAGGGTCGAGGTTATGAAAAAATCATGACGTCGGGGGTCTGAAATCTGGACCTTCCAGACGGGGCTTTCCCAGACCTTCTCGGGGAAGTAAAAGGTAACAGCTGGAGGTGCTTCGCTATGTTCAGGCTCCAGGGGCCCTCGCCGGCCCGCGTCCACTGCCCCCCCCCTGGGCTTCCCCGATTTCAGGCCTCCAAGATGGGGTCGGAGCAGATGGGGTCGGAGGACCGAGCCGCATCGCCGATGTACCGCCGATGCGGCTCGATGTGGAGCCCGATTTCTTTCACGGCGGCGCCGCCGAGGGATTGCCCCATCTCTACTGCGTGTTGAGGCGGGCACAGCCCCCCTGCCCCAAGTTCAAGGTTCGGGGTGGTCGACGGGGGAACACGCGTCGCTGCGGAAAAAACGCCCACATCTGCTAACCGCGGCCTGCTCCCTGGCATGAGCATTGACAGTGGGGGCGCGGGGGGGCGCTCTTGCGCCATCTTCTGGTCGTTGCACTGGGGCGTTCTTTTCGAACACGGCGGTGCGTCTCTCCGAGCTACGTCCTCCCTGGCTTTGCCCAGTACGGCGCAGGCACCGCTCCTGGGTCCCAGGTCCCAGGCTTACGTCGGGCACGTCCCTCTGCAGGAGGAATATTCAGAAACAGTCAAAAATAGCCTGGGGACGATAAACAAAACACATGTTAGACCATTTGGGTGCATTTTTTTGTATTTTTCATTCTTCGCCCAAAAGCCGTGGCCAGCCTCCACACCTGCGCCCTCCGCACTCGAGGCCCTCCCCCCCTCCTGCGCCCTCCCCTCTCGCTCCTCGCCGGCCACTCCCTCCTGCTCTCCCCTCTCGGCCCCGCCTCTGGTGGGCATGTGGCACCCAGCGCGCTCCACTGCCCGCCCGTAGGGGGACGGGCCCGACTTCGTCCCAGGTCCCAGGCTGTAAGTCGGGCACGTCCCCCTACAGGAGGAATACTCCGAAACAGTCCAAAGATAGCCTGGGGAGACGATAAAAAAAACTACATGTCGGACCATTTTGGGGCATTCTTTTTTTGTATTTTGCATTCTTCGCCCAAAAGCCGCCCAATAGGGGGACGGGCCCGACGTCGTCCCAGGCCTGGCCTGGGCCAGGGGCGGCGGCCGCGCTTTCGGACCTCGCCGCCCCGCTCCTCGGGGGCCGCGGGCGCGCCGGGCGGGCCGGGGCCCCGGGCGCCGCGGTTCCCGCCTGACGGGGGGCAGAGAGCGAGGTCGGGCGGGTGCTCTCCGACCGTCCTCCGCCTCCTCCGCCGCGTCCTCCTCCTCCTCCTCCTCCTCCTCCTCCTCCTCTCCTCCTCCTCCTCCTCCGCTCCTCCTCCTCCTCCTCCTCCCTTCTCCTCCTCCTCCCCCTCCTCCGCCTCCTCCTCCTCCGCCTCCTCCTCCTCCTCCTCGCTCCTCACTCCTCGCTCCTCACTCCTCGCTCCTCGCTCCTCGCTCCTCGCTCCTCTCTCCTCGCTCCTCCTCCTCCTCCGCCTCCTCCTCCTCCGCCTCCTCCGCCTCCTCCTCGGGGCAGGCATGCGACATCGGCTCGGGCGTGGCGTCCCAGGGGGGGCGAGAAGAGGGGGGGGGGCGAGGAACCCCTTTATCTCGGGGGGGGCGAGGACGCGGGGGCAGACAACCTCATCTCAGGGGGCGGGCGAGATGGAAGTGTCGGGGGTGGACAGAACCCCCAACAGTGACACGTCGATTAGTGAATTGTCCGTTTTCGGTTCTCGAGAGGGCGCCGTGGCCGTTATTTTCCAGGCTTGCGCCCGCCAGGTTTGGGCCCTCGGTCGTTTTCACTAAACCACGTTTTACTAAAGGGGGGTCTGTCCATCCCCGAGAAGTGGGACGGGGGGGGGATCGCTGGCCGCAGGAGGGGAGCTCCCCTATAGGGCCCCAAGAGGTGGTGAGGTGCACGACAGGCGCACGTCTCCTCCCCCCGGCCATTGATCGCCCCCCCCAGAAAAGCACAACGCCCGATATTCAGAGTCGGGTAATCGTTAAGACTCGAGTACGCCGGAACTCGGGTTTGCCGTCGCCATTTGACGCGCTCGTCCTGGATGTTGACGGTCCAGTTTTCGTGGGATGTTTGCAGCGGGAGTTCGCGTCAAATTTTAGATTGGGTCTCGTCATTTTCGTAACGGTTTCGCTAGGCTTACCAGAGTCCCCCGTACCCGAGTCTCACGTCCCAAGATTGATACGTCCCAAGATTTCAAGCTTTCCAGGGACTTCCAGTTAGTTCCTGATGTTCCGCACCGGCTGCGCCGCGAGATATCTTGAGCCAATATTATCACGACATCATGCTCGTGCGAAATATTGTGAAGGCCTTACGGCCGGTGCCGCCGACCCAGAAGAACGACGACGACCACGACGACGACCACGACGACAACGACAACGACGAGCTGATGCCACAGGCTCGGGACATGGGGAAGGCGGCGGCGGAGGAGGAGGAGGAGGAGGAGGAGGAGGAGGTGTAGGAGGCGGAGGAGGATGCGGAGGAGGAGGAGGAGGAGGAGGAGGAGGCGGAGGGGGAGCCAAGCGCATCACGACATCACTCTCGCCCGAGATGCTCGCGGCGGGCTCGTCTTGTCGCCGCGGCCCCGTGCCAAACCTCACACGGACCGCCGCCCGGGCCGCTCCCCCATCGCCCCCCTCGGGAGCCTTGAGACGGGGGTCAATGCAAACGGATCTTGCAGGACCCTGCAAGGCCAGGATATCACTGACCTGGGCTTGGGTGCAGGATCCTGCAGGACCCTGCAGGACCCTGCAGAGCCAGGGTCGCACCGACCTGGGCTTGGGTGCAGGGCCCGAACAGCCCGGTTCTGGATTGACCCGGGTCAGCAGATCCCCGACCCTCGGCATTGGTGAGCTTGTCTTCCACCACCACCGTAAGTTGGAGGCGGGAAGGAGGAGGAGGAGGAGGAGGAGGTACAGGACCCCGTTGCTTTTCAATCCCAGGACTTTTTGAGTATTGGGGACGACGTCGGGGTGGTGTGGTGTATACCCCGTTTTCCCGGGGAAGCAACGAAACAAATGTGCACCATTGCTCCCGTATACACCAGGATCCGCTTCTCTGTGCGAGTTTCAGTGCGGGGCCGGAAAAAGCGTCGATGTATAGAGTTCGGCTCCTTCAGAAGCACCTGCATGAACACACGTTGGGTTCGGAAGTGCGCATTGCGAAGCGGTCGCATCACGCGGCTGGTCTCGCGGATTGAGAGGCTGTGTTCATGTGCGTGGTTTGGCGCGTACTTCTTTGGAGGGCTCTCCAGAATAAGAAGGAGGCCTTCTCAGAAGGCGGCGGGACTTATCAGAAGCCCTCGCGCCGACTGAGGTGGTCTGTGTCCTCGGGGAAGGACTAGGGAACTTTTCAGAAGGCCAGGGTCTTCCGAGCCTTCTGAGGAGGCCTTCTCCGCCTCACTTCCCCCTGGGCTCACCGCTGGTTCCAGCCACGCGCAGAGGGGGGTAGGGGGGGTGGTAGGGGGAGGTGGGAAGGTTTCTTAGAAGGAGGCTGCTTCCTAGAAGGCGCGAGCCTTGTACCTATATACTATATATATATATATATACATATGTATATATCCACATGTACATATATATATATATATATATATATATATATATATGACCGGGGAAAACCCAATCAGGGCTATAGGGCCAGGGGCTATTGAGCTATAGGGCTATAGAGCTACAGGCTATAGAGTTGTAGGGCTATAGGGCTATTGGGCTATTGGGCTGTAGGGCTATAGGGCTATAGGGCTGTAGGGCTATAGGGCACCCCCGGGCACCCCCAGGCACCCCCGGGCACGCCCGGGCACGCCCGGGCACCCGGGCACCCCCCGAGCCCCCCCGGGCACCCCCGGGCACCCGGGCATCCGGGCGTGCAGCGAAAATCGGCGACAAATTGAACCTAACCGTATGAATCCGCCAGGACCCCTACAGAGGCAAGCTCTGATTGGGTGTGTAGGGCGGGCGCCTTCTAGGAGGCAGCCTCCTTCCAAGAAGCCTTCTCCCTCTACCCCCTTGCGCGCGCCGCCAACCCTGGGTGTCGCAGCTGTGCCTCCATGGTTGTCGACCGCCACCCCTGGCAGCAAGCATCGGGACGCTCTCTGCAAACAACAATGGCATGCCCTCATCTGCGGAGCTCTGTGGGTGGGGCCCAGGTGATCGTTTTCTTATTCATTGCTTTTTCGATCGGCGCGGGCCCTCGCACCCCTCCCTCTCCCCCCTCCCATGGAGTAGATCTTGGCAGTTTTGGGCGCCTGTTTCGAGCAGGCGGAGCCTCCCTCACAGGA